TCTGCCGAGCAAAAGCAGCACACACTGTATGATTCCGTGTCCCTGATGTGCAAAAACGCCAACCCCACCCCCTCAGATCATATGGTGTTTATGGGGACCTACTTATGTAGAAACAGAGTAGAAATACTCATGAAGAAGATGAACGCCAACCTCAAGGTAGTAGAAGGAGAGAGGAATGGAATTGGTACAAGTCTTTCAACTATATCTTTAATATCATATTTCTTTTCAAAACAATCTGAAGTAAATAAGGCAAAATATGAGGGAGGTCTTCACAAAGTTCCAGAAAATGCATATTATGAAGAAACTATGCATGGATTTCAATCTTTTTTTGTATGAAAATAAAATTCATACTTTAATTCCATTTTTCCACACACTTTTGGAAGACTGTTCCTATTCATGTTTGACAGTGAACGCTTGTTATATCATCCCTTATATTTTCTGTAACATAAAATAAAACCAACACTTTGTTCTAAGTGCAAAAGTTAGACTCCTTAGCCAGGCTTTGGTTGATGTTTCTCTCAGGCCTATTGACACCAAGACGAGTCAGGTCTTCATCCCCACCCAGGCGACTCCACAGTCCAGAAGAGGCACAAATAGTCCACATCTCCAAATCCCAAGGGCTTGGACCAAGCAGGAGCTCCAGAACCCTAGAAGATGCCAGGAGGGAGGGAACCAGTCAGGGAAGGCTTCCGGGAAGAGAGATCACTGGAGTCAAGTCTCAAATGGAGGCCTGACAGAGAAGGCCCTGTGGCTGGGAAGCCAGGCCTGGCCTCTGCTGATTCCCTTATCTGCCCACTCCCAGCTGCCTCCCTGCTGGCTGAACTGCCACCCGCAGACTTCTGGGCCTGTGCCCCCGTCCCCGGGGATGGGGGAGGGAATGGGTTGAGGCACAGCCTCAGGGTTTCTAGCTCTAGATGGAGGCAGGGCTTTGAAGCACCCCACTCTCCACCCTTTATTTCCCTTCCTGAGCCCTTCTTTCACTCCAGGAATGAAGAAACAGAGTGTAGGTCTAGTTGTCACTCCTTGACTTAGACATGCATCCAGCCTGCCCTTCGCTATGAGGACAGATTTCCCTACCTGGTCCCTGACATTGCAACTGCCATTTCTGATAATAAGAGCAATGATGAGTTACCGTTTATAGAGCACACCATTTATGGCATGCTCAGAAGGCCCTGCGCTGAGTGGTTATATTCCATGGCGGGGGGTGATAGTTATGATTATACTCATTTTCCAGGTGAAGAAACTATGGCTCAGAGGGGGCTTTGCCCAGGAATCATGCAGCAAATCAGTGTTAGAGCTCAGACAAGAACCCAGGGCCTTGCTTGAGCATATCTTTACTCCTCTGCAACTACTCCATCTGGAAGATGGGGGAAATTTCACACACCTACAAGAACCTTCTGAGAATAGGATACAAGTATGCATGGAAAGAACTTAGCACAGTGCCTGGTCACTGGGCAAGGCATGCTGCTGTTGTTATTATTATTATATTGATGCCAGCAAAAATATTGACATTAGGACTAGACAGCGGCCCAGTAGTAAAACATCACACTTTGCAAGGCTGACCCACATGGGAAGGTACCTGGTTCATGTCCAGAGACCTTCCTGAGTACACTGGGCACATACATGCCCATAATCCAGGACTGGCTGAGACTGGAGGATGGATCACTTCGTCAAGACCCCACTGGGAGTGTTGCCTCTCTCTTACTCCCTCTCTCTCACTTTGTCTCTTACTCATGGAAGAAATAAATAAAACTTCCAAAAAGTATTATTGGGTCACTCTTGTATTTTTCTTTTTCTTTTTTTAATAAGTATTTTATTCATTGTTGTTGTTTTATTTGAGTTTCTTGAAGTTGACCAGAGAGAGACAGAGGGAGAAGGAAAGTGAGAAAGCAAGCTGCCAGGTCTGAGACTCGAAGCGTAGTCAGCAACATGGGAGGCCAGCGGCCCAGTAGTCAGCCACATGGGAGTCCAGCCGCCCTAACCACCATGCCACCTGCTGGCCCCGACTCTTGTATTTTTCTATGCAAAAACGCATCATGACTTTCCCAACGACTAATAGTATCTGAATTAGTGTTTGTGTTGTTATCATTATTGTTGTTAGGATGAATAATCATTATTAGTGTAGAAGTAGTTTTGATATAGTATTAAAAATAGTATTAATGTTAGATTAGAATCCATATTAGATTAGTATTACTGTTTTTAAATTTATATAATTTTATTCATCATCATTATTATTTTTAATTTGACCATACATAGTGAGACAGAAAGAGAGAGAGAAATGGAAAGTGAGGAAGCAAGCTGTCACATCTGAGACTCGAACTGTGATCAGCCATATGGGAGTCCAGCATCCCAACCACCATGCCACCTGCCAGCCCCTAGATTAGTATTACTATTAAAAGTAGCATGAGTGCTAGTATCAATATTAGAATTAACAGTAGTATTACTATTGGTGTTGGCATAATATTAGCCTTAGTACTAAAATGAACAGAAGAGTATTGTTAAAAGGGGGCAAGTACTAGTCCAGTCACGGTGAGGCCGGTGGTAGCGCACCACTATTAGATACTGAAGCCATGCACAAGACCTGGTTTCAGATCTTAAATCAACCTGAATATGCCAGGTGCGCCTGCATGCCTATAATCCTGGCTGGCTGGGAGGCTGGCAGGGAGGATCACAGCATGGTGGGTGAGACCCTATAGATAGTACTTGTCTCTCTCCTCTCATAAAAAAAAAATCAATGAAATAAACTTTTTTAAAAAAAGGACTGAGTGCTATTCCTGGTATACAGTACTCAATAAATAAGAATAATTAACATTTATTGAGATCTCAGATTCAAATGAGTTGGTCATTTAACATGGAGTAAAAGTCATTTAGTGTCTCCATTCACCCTACGGAGTCATTACGATCATTATCCCATTTTTACAGATGAGGAAAGTTCACCTAACCAGTTGGTGGTTAGGGAGGTCTATGCACAAGGGTGGGCTGGCTCCAGAGTCTGTGTCCTGAAACCATCACAACTTAAGTCACAGGTGTCGTTATCTTTGTCATTGTTCTTTCTTACTGATGAGGGCTCAGTATGGGGTGTGGCACACTACAGTAGCTCAATAAATGGGAAGTCGTGGCCTTTTTTCTTTCCTGCTCAAGACTCCCACTTCATCATTTATTTTTTTTTTTAAGAATTATTTTATTTAACTTTATTTATTTATTTTATTTTGACCAGAGAGGGACAGAGTGAGAGAGAGAGAGGGAAAGTGAGAAAGCAAGTTGCCAGGTCCGGGACTCGAACCGTGGTCAGCCATGTGAAAAGTCCAGCGCTCTTAACCACCATGCCACCTTCTGGCCCCAGGGCTCCCACTTTGTTTATGAAGACACTGAGGTTCAGAGAGGTAAGATGGGAATGGTAAACTCCCTCTGGGGTTGGGCAGTGGGCAAACAGACCCAAGGGTTCATCCTTGCCCTCTGCTGTCTCTGGGTCTTAGTCTCCCCAGCTACAGTTTGTGTGGTCAGGAGAGCTCCCTGACCTACGGAGTTCTGAGGCCATGGCTGGAGAACCTTCATCCTTGCCTTATGGGGACCCAAACTGGGCAGCGACTGTGCGTGTGTGTGTGTGTGTGTGTGTGTGTGTGAGAGAGAGAGAGAGAGAGAGAGAGATGATCGTACATGAAGAAAATGCTCAGAACAGACTAGGCACAGGTCTGTGTCAGCATGAGACAAGGTAGTGTTGTCACTGTTAATATTTGGGGGAGGTATTATAGGGCAGGAGAGTGGGGACTGGGGTGTAGAGACCCAGTGATCCTCTGGATTTCCCTGGTAGCTGGCTGAGGGCAGAGCCACAGGCCAAATAGATCCACGTCCCCCTGTCACACACACACCAGCACCACCTGCCCTGGGCCCATCCTAGTCTGCCACCTGAGATCTCATGGACTTCCTCTCAGACTCTTTGACTCCAAATACCTCTGTCTCATCTCAGTTTTTCCACCTGTGTCGGCCTCTGTCACTTTTAGGTTTTATCTTTTGCCTTCTGTCCATCTGTCTCTGTTTCTCATCTCTCTTTATCCCTCTCTGTATGTCTTTAACTGTCTCTGGCTCTCTTTGGGCATCCCTCCCTTTCTCTTGGTCTCTCCTTTCTTTCTGTGCTCTCTCTCTCTCTCTCTGCCTCCTTCCACCTCTGTCTCTCTCTCACACTCTGTCTCTTTTCCATCTCTATCTCTTTCTGTCTCTCTCTTGTCTCTCTCTCTCTGTCCCCTCCTT